CAATCACGCTGCTCCTGAGGCCTGGCGCCTGAACGCCATAGAGACCTGCGCCCTAGTTACTACATCAACTGCTCCTGAGCTGCGCCTACTTTACATCCTGCTCCTGAGGCCTGCGCCTTACTTTCTCATTTGCGCCTGCGCCTACTTTCTCATCCTGCTCTGAGCCTGCGCCTGCGCCTCTACTTTCTTATCCTGCTCCTGAGCCTGCGCCTGCGCCTACTTTCTCATCCTGCTCCTGAGCCTGCGCCTGCGCCTACTTTCTCATCCTGCTCCTGAGCCTGCGCCTACCTCACCTGGCTCCTGAGCCTGCCGCCTACTTTCTTATCCTGCTCCTGAGCCTGCGCCTGCGCCTACTTTCTCATCCTGCCCTCCCTGCCTGCCCTGAGCCTGCCTGCGCCTACTTTCTCATCCTACCTTTTCTCATCCTGCTCCTGAGCCTGCGCCTGCGCCTACTTCTCCGCTCCTGCGCCTGAGCCTGAGCCTGCGCCTACATTCTTATCCTGCGCCTGAGCCTGCGCCTACATTCTTATCCTGCGCCTGAGCCTGAGCCTGCGCCTACTTTCTTATCCTGAGCTTATATTCTTATGCTATTAAAATTAAACTCCATGCAAATATATGTATTAAAGTTTATTATCCTGTAGAGTTATGCAATTACATAATGTCCGAATTTAATTATCTGAAGCGTGTTATTAAAGCCTTGCATCAACAGTAGGTAAATAAATTAGGAAAATTTATACCCAAAACCCAATATCAAGTAGTTTAAAAATTAGTGTTACAGGAAATGGGGATTACCTCCCGTTTCAGTTGACGTGCAGTGAAAAGCAAAATGTTGCTAATATTCATTTTCAATGCTACATGGCACAGGTTTTATTCTTGCTTATAAATGCATTTCCGAAATTTGAATTATGACAATTGTTTAATACTTTTACATATGAAGCATTTCCTTGTACATCGGGTGCATGTACAGAATAAGCAGATATGAATAAATCAATGAAATTGAAATGGTAGATGGGGGTATTGAAGTAATCGAGTAGAAGTTGTAAAATGCAGACAAAAGGTTACCGATATATGAAACTATCAATGCATTATGAAGGAGAGTTGGCGATATCATGGAAGGACTTACTGTAGGAAGAAGTAAGGATTCATGTTATAACCCACTCAAGCTAATGTTAAAAATAGTGTTCACATTTGAAGTAAAGGTGAATTACCTCATTATTTGGCCTAATACAAATATGTAGGTGGCGCTGGGAAGTTTGGGGGCCTTTGTATTCATAGTACATTTCATCCCAGGTATGCAAGGATTCACCTGTGTCTTTCAAAAGGAGTACATGCAGTAGCTTCAAGCATTATGTTGCTATTCTAAAATAGCATTTAAGGTGATACACCTACAGTCTATTGCTTATACTATATACCTTTCGCCATTTTAATCTGCTCATACATACTCCGCCTTTTAGGCATGGTAATTTTAAAGGTATACGGTTATATAAACCTGTATATAAATAAAAAACACATACTGCCGTTTCATTTGTTTATATCTGGAACCCATAAGCCCTTGTATACCAGAGAAATCACTATTACAATCTAAATCTGTATACATTCTTTAATCAGGATTTCTATACACCTCCGTTTAGGAGGATTCTTATTTGCGCTTTCCCTTATCATTCGGAGAGGAATAGAGAATATGTTCGGGTGTATAGGCCTGCTTTTGCATACATCAGCAATGCCTACGTCCCGTCATTGATGTAATCACGTGGAAAGTAAAAAATCCGCCGTTTAAAAAAAAAAAATCAATCAATACGCAACCACTAAACATGGATGCAAAATTATGGCGGATATAATGCCAATACCACCAAGCAAACTTTCCCCAGCTTGATCTGGACATCAAATATTCCTTTGCCTCGTCTGACTAGGCCTCAAATTCCAACTCTTAACCCCTAAATCATGATTTCTGTCGGTATGTTTAATAATCATGCCTTGTCAAGGTATTAAGTGGCCTATTTGACGAAATTATGACGAGGCTTGGGCAAACCAATAGTTATATTGATACATAATCAAGGATTATACAATGAGGTAGTTCTGGTCCACCCTCTTTCATGGATAAGGTGGTATAGGATGCAAAAGAGACTCCAGATGTTCTTAGTCACCTAAGGTAGGGTGTACACCTGTACAATTAAAAGTAGCTTTAATTTAAAATTTAAAAAAATACAAGACTAGGGTCTCTCAATAAGAAGTGATCTTCAAGACGTGTCGATCCGTGTGCAAGACCATCTAGTCCGTTTACTCGAAATTAATTTAAGAGCTCAGAACCTGATTCTGTAGGTTTGCAGGCAAGTCATTGAACATCGCCTGGGGTACACCCTCTGTGGGAGGAAGAGGATTTTAGTACATGCTTATTCCAGGCAGAATGTCCAAAGTATTTTAAACAAGTGCTTGGCAAGTTAAGAGGCAGACTTGTGCGCATCTAAAGAGGTAGGTCATAACCCTCTAGCCAACCCTTTAGGCAGCATACAAGTAGTAGACCAAGTTTCCTAACAGCCAAATCAGTTATACCCATTACCTATGCTAGAGGCTCCCACATGGAGGGGCAGCCCAATTTATTGGTAGTCTTACCTCCACATTTATACTCCATGTTGGACCATATAATTTCTTCCTGGGAGAAGCAGAAGAGTCCCAGTCTGCCTCCTTTCAGGGTGCTGTCATAAATGTTTCCAGAGTCCATGACCTGGTTATTTCCCTGGTACAAGTAGAACCTTATGGTTCCAATATCAGGCCGGTGGTGAAGCAGCCAGCGGTAGGCAACCTTGGGTTTCCATCCAAGGCTGCCATCATGCCAGAGCAATTGTGCCTGAAAGCCAACCACCACACCATTAAACCAGGATGGTTACTCCCGACATGCTAGCTATATCGTGAGCTAGTTGTATGGCTGAACAAATCTTGCATGCCTTTGGTTACCCAAAGTATAGCTACCTGGTTTGGTGTAGACCCAGTGAACCACAAGGCATCCCTAAGTTTCGTGCCAGGGCCCGTGTTAGAGTTTACTAGCTTCAGAGTAACGCCTCTCTCGGCCTTGTTGAACCAGTTTTGTGGTGCTTTTTTCCAACTCACAACATAGAACTTGGCATTGCTTTGGTAACTGTTGGAGGATAAAAATATGTGAGGGCCAATCTTTCATTGGCAATTTAACATTTCAGTGGATTAACAATACTTACCCGAATATAAAGCCAACAAAATCGTCATCACTCGTGTCTTCAATGAAGAAGGTCCCCTCAAAGTCGACATCGCCCAGAACGTGGTCACCTGCAGTTACATTACAATTATTTTATGCCACATTTATGCAGACCCATTTAGACGTCTGGCATTTCAAACCTTTCCATCATACATACCCACTGCTATAGCTGGGTCAGAGTTCACGGTCTGATGAATTTCTGCACCGTTGTCATAGACGACCATACCGGAGTAGATGCCGTTTGCGGGTCTAGTGCCACCATTTGCAGATGTCTGCCAAGTTTAAAGATGTTCAAGTGGCTGCCCTAGTTGTATTGGGGCTTCCTTCAAAAACTCGCTAAGCTGACCTACCTGAAGTCGGTGCTGTGTACATTAGGGTTATAAATGCAGTTGTCATCCGGATCTAAAACCTTGTCACCATCCTTGTCATCACTGCAGGCGTCACCAAAACCATCCCCGTCGGTATCCTTCTGCTGCTTATTTGGGATTAGTTCGCAGTTGTCATTCTTGTCAAGTACACCATCATTGTCATTGTCTGTATCACATGCATCACCTTTACCATCACCATCTACGTCTTGCTGGTCACTATTGGCCACATTTGGACAGTTGTCCACACTGTCCTCCACACCATCACTGCAACAGAAGGCAGAAGTTGTATTGGCCATCATTAGATTTACATTTGCCAGGTTAAACAATTAAAGCAATTCATCAATCCATACCTGTCAGTGTCCACGTCATCATCACAGGCATTCCCTAGGAGATCTTCATCCTTATCACTTTGCCCTTTGTTGGCGTGCTGAGGGCAGTTGTCGCAAGCATCTCCAATACCATCTCCATCACTGTCAGCTTGGTTGCCATTAGCTACCTTAGGACAATTGTCTGCACCATTTAGCAATCCTGAGGGAACAGGTGGGACATGGAAGACTCTTGGCCAAGACGAAAGGGGAGTGGAAGCCATCAGTCAAGAATTAAAGTAACAAGCATACCATCATTATCAATATCGTTGTCGCATTTGTCGCCTTTTCCGTCCCCATCAATATCGCTTTGGTTGGGGTTGGAGTCATCAGGGCAGTTGTCACATTTATTTCCACGTTTATCCTTATCCTTGTCGCTTTGGCCAGGGTTGGCTATCAGGGGACAGTTATCCTGGAATGCAGGAGCAAATGGAATGTTCATGGTGGACAAGTGTTGGCATACAAGATCCTAGCATTCCCAGTTAGTCTTTCATACCTTATTATTGTCATGTCCATCTCCATCAGCATCATTATCACAAGCATCGCCAATCTTATCACCATCGGCATCCTCTTGTCCGGAGTTGGGCCTATTGACGCAGTTATCCTTACGGCAGTACTTGCTTGAACAGCTCAGTTCAGTGTCTGGGTAGCCATCAAGGTCAGAGTCCGGAGCACACTCTGCACCTTCACCAGCAAAACCAACAGGGCACTGGGAAGTGGAGAAAGACATGTTAATTATTCAGGAATTAAAGTTACTAGGTTAGTTGGTTATGAATTAACACCTAAATCCCAACTATCATAAATACTTACCTTGAGGGGCTGGCACACTTTTCCATCACCTGTATAACCAGCAAGGCAAGAACAAGTTCTGCTGCCAGCAGTGTTTGTACACTTAGCTTTAGCATGGCACCCACCATTAGCTACCAAACACTCATCCACATCTGGAGGATGAAATTGTAGCCGTTTACTAAATATAGTCTAGTCCTGACTTTGAGCAAGTCATAAAACCCACTTACGAGTTTACAATTGCTAAGGTACTCGCCTGTGCAAACTAGGCCATCCCCAGTGAACCCTGATTTACAGGTGCAGTCACGGCTGCCTGGAGTATTGCTGCAACGGGCATTTGCATCACAGCCACCGTTGGCAACTAAACATTCATCCGTGTCTAGAGAATAAACCATAAAAATAATGTTGACTTGTGTACCTACTAAACAAGTATCCAAAATATATTCTTGGGCAATTTAATTATATTACAAGAGGGGAGTTGAAAAGGAATCGAGGTGCTACTAGTGTTTTGGTCATGTTCAGAGCACGAGCGGGATGCTAAAATATTCGTGCGATTACTCACCAGTACACTGAAGTCCATCACCAGTGTATCCAGGATGACATGTGCAAGTTCTGCCACCAACATCATTTTTACAGTCCGCATTAGCATGGCATCCACCATTAGCCACCAGACACTCGTCAACGTCTGCAAGGCATTTCAGAAGGTACCCAATATAAATTAACAATCAAGGGTAATTAATGCTAGAATTTTTACATTTCCTTTATACTTGCCTGTGCAAACTAGGCCATCCCCAGTGAACCCTGATTTACAGGTGCAGTCACGGCTGCCTGGAGTATTGCTACACAAAGCATTAGCACCACATCCACCATTGGCAACCAAGCACTCGTCAACATCTGTAGGTACAAGACCAGTCATTAACCAACCTCAATTACTTGAAGGCAAAAAAGCATCCGCTTTTGCAAGCACTCACCAATGCAGGTGAAGCCGTCACCAGTGTATCCTGCTGAGCAACTGCACTGGAAACTGCCATCAGAGTTTGTACACGTGGCACTTGCAGAACATCCGCCGTTGGCCACAGCACATTCATCAACATCTGGGGATATAGTGCAAGGAATGTATTGTGCGGTGTGTACCTTACTTAGCTATATAAAATTTGCCAAGATTTTATTTGTGCAAACTCACCTATACATGTATATCCATCACCACTGTACCCTGCTCTGCAAGTGCAACTCACACCTCCATTAATTGTTAAGCAGTCTGCATTGGCATTGCAGCCGCCGTTGTTTGCCAGACAGGGATCTGAAAGTAATATTAATGACTTGACCTAGTAAGGTTATATTACACATTTCTGCAGAAATCTCTGTGATGTCTAAGAAATATCAAGCACTGGAAATCTACCAAACAAAATTTCAGCAATATACGTTCTTTTAAGGTTCCACTCCCCCCCCCCCGAACTGGTGGACCCCACATTTATCGGGCACTAAAATCAATCTTCAACTATTTGTTTAGATATAGTTTGCTGCTCAATGGCCAAACATTCAAAGGAAAAGCTACCTCTTAATCAAATTTCAACTAGAATCTACATACCTGTAGTCTCATCAGGACACATCCCCTGTGGAATGCTACAGCGGGTGAAGTAGTCATACAGATTCATCTCGTGGTCCTCCACACACGCTCCTCCATCACCAGAGTCGTTAGCTTTCCACACATAACCATGGGGGCACTGGTACCGGGCACGCTTCATCAGCCCACCAATAATCAGGCATTCGTAGTAGCTACGGCGGTCGAGGGGATCTGGGAACCTGCCTTCCTCATAGCACACCATTGTCCGCTTGCAAGGATCTTCACAAGCTCCCGTTGCCTCGTTGAACAAGGTTCCATTTGGGCACATGAACAGCCTCTGCAGCCACCCAGATTGAAGCGAGATGCACGAGTAATATTCAGAGCAGTCATCAAGGTTTGCAAAGACACCAGGCCGTCTGCAAGCTGGAAGACTGGCTTGGTTGCGACACTGCACAAGGGTCTCGTCAAACACCATGCCATCAGGGCAAACGTGGATCTCGGGGAGTACTCCGATGCCAGAGCAGCTGAAGAACTTCTGTGGGTCATACAGATCGCGGACAAACGAGTCCGCGCTCTGGCAGGTGCATGCAGCAGGATGACCTGGGTAGCACACTGCACCCCCAAAGGCTGCCTTGATACTACAAGACCTCCCACTGATGCACTGGCGGGCAAAGGCCTGACCTTTCACACACATGACCATGGTTCTGCAGTCGGCGCACACAAAGTCATCAGGCTGACCTTCACACAAGTAAGAGTACCTGGGATATGCATTAGTCACACTCCGCTCACTCCTTGAAAGACACTGAAAGGAAAGATAAATGAAGAATTCCACGGGTGCTCTTTACAGTTAGGGAGTTACTAATAAAAACCTACCATCTCACTGCTGCACGTCCTGGAGGTAGTGTTGAAGACGAATCCATTACAGTCATCAAAAGATAATTCATAGCCCCCATTGTCATCTTGTATGCAGTCGTAGAATCCACCACACGTATTTGGGTTGGGGAACCTGCCCTCACCAGAACAATCAGGCCTGGAGGGGCAATGCCAGCAAGAGTTACATGCTCAGTTACATTTTAATGCCATTTGTTTTAACAGGGATAAACAAACATTACTTACACATTTGTGGGCATGGCAACTGCAGTTGCAGCCACCATCTGGAGGAGATGAATAGAAGTTTAGATGACACGTAATTGATTATTCAATAAAATATTAAATTTAGCAAATTAAAACCTTTATTTTATGCCTATTAGCTATCCCTAGCTTTTTTATGGGAAGGCGAACCGTTTCGTATATTTAAGGCGCTCTTGATATTTGTTAAACAAAATTTTGACATTGT